CTCAAGCTGGCGGGACGCAAGTCCTGGGGAAGCCCCGAATGCGAGGGAACACCCCAGGCACACGTCGCCACGTTCTGCATCAGTAATGGACACGACCTCGAGTGTTTGACGCAGGTCGTGAACCCGTTCAATTATTATCATGGCCACAATGTGGTACATTGGGCCCATTTGTAACCTCCCTGCTCGGCTACGTGAGGCAGCAAGGTCTTCAACTTTCGAAAGTACGGTGCTACCGCGGACGTGAGCCAAGGTAGATATATGGACCATGTGTGGAGGACGAGGAGTACGAGAAGAGGGATGAAAATGAAGGGAAGACGAAGTAGCTTCCAGACTGTGGCGGGCCGCTCGCGGCTTGGGCAGTTGCTGTGCTCCGTCGCTTGCCACTAGAAGGACTCCGAGATGTCCGAAAGCCTGGCTATCGTGGCCTGCTTCGGGGTGGGCCCAGGCCGCCTCGGGACCTCTCTGCTCTGTTCTTGGGACCCCTCCCCCCCGCACACCACGTTTTCGCGCCCAGCACCGGCCGGCTGGCGCACGCGGAGATGTGCCTCGAGGAGCTGGCGGGGGACTCGGAGCTGGCGGACCGCGGCCCCCGGAGGTTCGATGCGAGTTTGGGGGCCCAAAACGTAACCCGCAGCACGCGCGGCCCAAATGACGTCGCGAGAACAAACTCGGACAAGAAATCGATTTCGCGCGCTCCGAAAACTTGCAGTTCGGGCCCCCCCGAACCCCCCCGGGCCAAGACCCCCTTCGAGCTGCCCGAGTCCTGAGCACACCGGAATCGAGTTTTTTCGAGCTCAAAAAAATCACTTTCCCGGGGCCATGGTCTGGGAGGGCGCCAGGCCGCCCTGGATATCGTGCTGCGAAGTCGCCCCGAGAAAGACTCAGTCGTAAACTGAACCTTTCTTGGGGGTGCGTCGGGGTCGCGCTTCCCCGACCCCCTGCGCCGGTTCGGGGGGGGGCGGCCCCTCCAGGGTTGAGGGGCCCGGAACGCACCCCACAGCACCTGCGGCCCAGGAGGTCCTGTCGGGGCTGTCGTCGCGGCCCCGTCGGGGCTGGCCATGGAGCCGAGAGGCCGCAGCAGCGCGGCAGCAGCGCGGCAGCAACGCAACGAAGACGACAACGCGGCGGCGGCAGCCTCGGGAGGCTGTTTCCGGACCCCGGGACCACGGAAGAAAAAATGGAAACACACAGGGGGGAAAGGGGTCGAGAAGTCCAGGGCTGACTTCAGTGCCCGACGACGTCGGGTCCACCTTCCGCCCTCCTCATTATTCCCTCCTCCCTCCTCCCTCCTCCCTCTCCTCCTCCTCCTCCTCCTCCTCCTCCTCCTCCTCCTCCTCCTCCTCGTCCTCCTCCCCCCGTTCTCCTCCTCCTCCTCCTCCTCCTCCTCCTCCTCCTCCTCCTCCTCCTCCTCCTCCTCCTCCTCCTCCTCCTCCCCCTCCTCTGTTCAACGGGAAAATCTAAGTGGAGTCGGATCGGCGCAATTCCGTTGGCAGCGAAGCTGCTGCTGAGGATAGCGACAGAAGGATGAAGGATGAAGGACAACACGTAATGAGTGAAAAGGGCGGCGGGGAGGAAGAGGAGGAGGAGGAGGAGGAGGAGGAGGAGGAGGAGGAGTCCACGTACTCAGGGGGATGAGTCGTGCAGCTACACTATGCCTGATTAAGGTAAGAAGAAACGCTAAGGCGGCCGCCAGCCTGGAGCTGGACACCACCTGGGCCTCGATATGGACGATCCGGTGACGGAAGAGAGCGCTGGTTCCGAATTACCTGGGGCCTCGAGACCGTGCGTTCCTGGTGAGCCTGGCACGCCAGCAGAGCAGAGTGCCTGGCCTGAAGAGTAATGCTATACTGACCGAACAGATGGGGCAGAGCGGCAAGCTCAACTCTCAGCCTATGGAGGATATGGAAACTGACTGCCGTGAGCTCGTGCGCTCGCTCACGATTGATCTCGGCAACATCATAATCAGCTGTCGAGCCGAGTCCGAGGCGGACTATGGGGTCAGACGGGAGGTACACACGGCCAGGGAGAGCTAAGAGGTGAACAAGACGAGGGCAATCGAAATAGTGAGAGATCGCGTCAGGACAGTGCTCACAGCCAAATCTGCAGCTGAGAGGGGTCAGAATATGAATTCTGTGGGACGTGATCCACGCTCCTGCTAAGGTCTTGAGGTGAGCCCACACACGCATGGGAGGGGACTTCTTCAAAACTAGTTTTAGCGCCTCCCATCGTCGCCGCATCGCCTCCTCACTCGGAACTGTGGCGGGCGGAAGCCACGCTGAGAGGCGACGATGGCAAAGGAGGTGTAAGGAGTCAGGAAAGAGCAGAGCAGTGAGGGAGGAAGAAAGACGAGATTGGATGCCAGGAAGACGCAGCCGATCCCTCCCCTCCTCCGCCTCCACAGCTAAGGCCACCGCAGCAGCCTCTCGCAGGTGCCGCGGCGCGATGATGTGCGATTGTGGGCGGGGGCGCACGCGCGGGCTCCATTCTCCACTCCAGATGCCGAGCTGCTGTGCAATGCTACCTGGAATGACCCAGCACGGCGCAGCCCACCTACCCTTCACCCAGTTAACAAGCGTGCCTGGCTCGAGGATGGCCTCCTCATGACGCCCAACCCACCGCTCCCACCAGCCCCATCATCGTCTTCGTGGCCATCCTCCAGCCAGCAGCAGCAGTGGCGATGAGCACTGAATGAGGCGCTCCTGATTTCAACCACGTGCCAAGCGAAAACAACTCTGAGAGCTTGAACGAGCTGGGGGGGATGCGCAACATTTTATGCAAGGCCCACTTTCTTTGCGCAGGATGTGAGGGGAAATCGGGAAATATTGAGCGATGTAGCTGAGGACCGTGACGCAGCGAACATTATATAGCGTGACGGAAGCTGCCGTAGGCGCCCTCCCCGCACCCGTCTCCCTCGACCGCACCCACCATTTTTGCCCAGCAGTTTCCCATTCGTCCTCTAGTGAGGCTCCTGGGCCAAAGAGGATGCCTAGATATCTGGTGAAGGACTCTATGGCGAATGAGCTCCAAGGGGCAACATTGGCGTGCAGGAAAACGCGAATCCTCTCAATGAGGGCGGCATCGACGCAGGACCACAGCGGCACCAGGCAACACTTTTTGGGCTGAAGGAGAAGGCCAACAAGAGCAGCGGCAGCCTCGAAGGGGGGCAGGAGGGAGGGAAGGTGTCGGATGTTGCCTAGCGCAGCTCCTACGTCGTCGGCACACGCTCCAAGATCGTCCTCTGAACCTCCAGCTGCCTCAAGAGACGACACGAGGGCACGGACAAGGGGGTCCATTCCCAGCGCCCAGAGGGTCCCCGACAACGGGCAGCCTTGAGGGACCCCTGAGGAGAGAGTGAAAAGCTCCCGAACCTCTGAGCCAACACGGAGGAAGCCTACAGCGTTGCACATCAAGGCCCTGATGGCACACATATATGGCCCTGGGAGCAGGAATCGCTGGAGAACTTTCCTCAGCCAGATTTGACTCATGCTGGGGAATGCGGCTTTCACATCAAAGCTGACAAAGATTGGCATTCTTATATCTGCATCGTCCCCTAGGCTTGCAATACGACAAAGTGTATCTAATCGCACGATGTGGCGAGCAAAATTGCGGCCGTTGACGAACCCTTGCTGCACTGTGTGGGTATGACGCTCTGCCACACGCTTGAGACGCAAATTGATCGACGTGGCCATGGCTGGAGGAGAGGAGGAGGAGGAGGAGGAGGAGGAGGAGGAGGAGGAGGAGGAGGAAGCAGCTCGAGGAGACCCGGGACGGAGGCACGAAGACCCGCAGTACGATAAGGGTGATGACAAAGAGGAGCGAATGGCGGCCAAACCAAATCGACCGAAGCAACCGACGAGAAGGCGACGACGCAGGGGCTCCGCAGTAACCGAACCGACTGAACCGACCGATTCCAAGCGACAGCGACGCAACCGAACCGACCAGTTTGCGAAACTCTAAGACGACCGTGTCTGCATCGACTCGAACTGGCCGAACCAAACCGGCCGAACCGGCCTGGTCGGAAAAAAAAACGAACTGGCCGAACCGAACCGGGCGAACCGAACCGGCCGAACTGAACCGGTCTGCGACGCGAACCGAACCGGTCGAACCGAACCAGTCTGCCACACGAGCCGAACTGGACGAACTGAACCAGGCGCGCATCGAACCGAGCCGAACCGAACCGAACCGCGGCTTTCATGAATTTGGGCCGTAGCTGGTTTGTTACGACTTTCGGACGGCGTTCGGCACTTCCGATGCGCTCGCGATCAAAAAAAATGTCCCCACGGGCGTGGGGTGTGCGGGGCCCCCTCCCAACCGTCCCAAGCGTCGTCGTCGTCGTCGTCGCCCCAACATCCCATCCTGGCGAGGGGCCTACAGAACCCCTGGGACCCACTCGACCCAGGAGAATTCGTGTATCCATGTCTACCGCCTGCTGGGTTTACGGAGAACCCCCGCCTCGGACGTGGATCCACTTCGGGGCCCCCGAGCCGTGCGGTGACGGAGCCTGCGGTCACCACCGAAAACCTCACCGCGCGGTCCGTCACCGCATGGTTCTGAACCTCGGAGGCCCCAGTCGCCCGAGACGGCCTCGGAGAACGACCCGAGTCCCAAAGCCGTGCGGCCACCCCGACTCCCCACTGCCTCACCACACGGCGTGGTCACCGCACCGTTTTGGGGGGGGCCCCGATCCACGCTGCGACATGAACACCCTGGCGCCGGGATGAGGAGGAGGAGGAGGAGGAGGAGGAGGAGGAGGAGGAGGAGGAGGAGGAGGAACGCCACAGGTTATCGCCTAGGGCTTGCTCCGCGTAAAAAAAAAGGAGGAGAAAGCAGGCGGGAACGAGGCAGGCAGGAAGCGGGAGCAGTCAGGAGGAAACCGCCGCGCGGGGGGGGAGGCTGCATGAGGACGACGAGAGGAGCAGCAGGAGCGGCCGGTCTGACGCTGCGGCACCCGGGGAGGACCCCAAGGCCTGGCAAAGAAAAGAGAGGAGTGGTAGAGGCTCCTGACCTTCGGCCAGCGCCGCCAGGATGGCCTCGAGATGGGGGACTGGCGACGACGACGACGACGACGACGACGACGACTACGACGACGCCGACGACGGCGACGGCGACGACGACGGCGGCGGCGGCGGCGGGGATGACGACGACGACGACGACGACGACGACGACGACGACGACGACGACGACGACGACGACGACGACGACGACGACGACGCCGACGACGGCGGCGTCCCCGTCGTCACCGCCGCCGTCGCCGACGTCGTCGTTTTCGTCCGTCTCGCCGTGGTCGTGGTCGTGGTCGTCGTCGCCGCCACCGCCGCCGCCGCGGTCGTCGTCGCGCTCGTGCTAGTGGTTCCGTGCTTTTGCTCTGCGCGGGGATGCCTGGCCCGTCGCGTGCGAGGCGCACGCGCGGCTGAGTGCGCGCGCACAGGAAGCGAGCTGCGACAGTCCGAAACGAGGCGAAGGACTGTGCAAGCGAGTCACCTCGTTCTCCTCGTCCTCGCTCTCCTCCTCCCCCTCCTCTTGCTTGTGGTCCTCCTCCTCATTGTCCTTCTCTCGTCTCCTGGTCCTTGTCCTCGTCATCCTCTTCCCCGCCCGTCTCTCCATCCTCTTCCCGCCGCGTCCTCTCCTTTTTCGTTCCCTCCTCCTCTTCCTCCTCCTCCTCCTTCTCCTCCCCATCCCCCCCCCCTTATCCTATTCCTTCATCTGCCGCCCCTCCTCCTCCTCCTCCTCCTTCTCCTCCTCCTCCTCCTCCTCCTCCTCCTCCTCTTCCTTCTCCTCCTCCTTTTCTTGCGCAGGCTGCTAAGCGCTCCAGGAGCTTGTAGCGTCAGGTGGGCGCGGCAACCTGACGCCTCATCGCTCACGCGGGCGGAAGCGCCACGAGAGTGCCGCGCCTGGCAAGGCCCAGCAGACCCTTGGCGAAATCGGACCCCAGGGATAAAGTCGAGAGCGCCAGGGCGGGCAAGGAAGCACAGCAACCGGCGGACACCAGGAAAACGACCCCAGCGGCCGGAGAGCTCCAGAAAGTACAGCAACCTGACCAGGGCCAACAGCAGAGACAAGACGAGGACCCCAAGAAGGAATCGCGATAGCCTCCAGGAGCCTGATGAGGACCGAGGGTGGGCCCAGGAGAGGTGGTCGTGGCCCTGGTCAGGAAAATGAGCGCGTGGAGGCAGGCACCTCGACGCACTCCTGGAAAGACAACGACCGCGCCGAGGAGCGGAAGCAAGGAAACGAGACAGGACAATGGTGGAAGGAGTGAGGGGTGGCGCTTGGCTTCCACTTCCGCCACCCGCGCGGGCCCCCCAATTCGCCCCCGCGCTAGGCACTCCAGGAGCTCGGAAGCCAGAAGGACAACAAGTCCACAGCATCATCGTCATCATCATCGTCGACGCCGTCGGCCCCCAAGCCCCAGAGGAGGGCAAGGCTGGCTGCGCAGGAGAAGCTAGATGAGAAGTACACCAACTCGACCTCCTCCCCAAACTGGAACATCGAAGCGTCTAACCTCTGCATCCTGGAAGGGGAAGGGGACCTCGTCGCACTGGCGTCCTTCTCTGGTTGGGGGGGGGCCCTGGGGTGGCGCTCGGGGTTTGTTTCATCCCCGGCCACTTACGCCCCACGAGCCACCCCCCACGCCTCCTCGCAGGGGCTGAGACCAGCTCGCACGTCTCATCCATCAGGATGGGGCGTCTGCGGAGGCACCTGTGCGGCCACGCGTAGCGCCTGCAGCAACACGCACGGGAATGTTGGCGGCTGCCAGCGCCCGTGCCAGCACGCGCGAGAGGCCCTGGGGCCAGTCACCTGGGTCACGCCTCGAGCCTACTGCATGAAAATGATGAGAGCAGAGGTATCTCGAGGCATGCTGCTCTAACTCGAACTCGAAATTCACGTGGGTCGCGATCGCCGTGGTGGTCTACATCGCAGTAGTTCCCAGCATGAAAAAATCAACCTTCTACTCCTTTTTAACTTGCTCTCCAGGAACATTTGCCAGCGGTGGGGTCGCACTGATCATCGGCTGGAAAGCGCGCTCGGTCGCCAGAAGGACTGCAGGAGCACTGGCGCGCAAAGCTGCCTCCGGAATCCCCCAGCGCGATCTCAACTGATTAGTTTCAACCAAGAAGGGCTTTCTAGCATCATCTCCAAGCTGTTGAAGTCCCCATGGTTAAGCTATAGAGCGTCGCGGTCGCTGAACCCCCGGGCGGGTTGTGCACTTTTTCCCGGCAAACTGGGCTTTTTCCCGGCAAACTGGACTTTTCCCCGGCGCTCCGCCGGGAAAGAGTCCAGTTTGCTTAGTTTTTGTATGGAAGCTTGAAGCATGGATTTCCGAAAATCCCACTATCACCTTAAGGGTCTCCAACTCCCGCTGCGCAGATCCTAGCCGGGAAAGAGTCCAGTGGTTGACTTGTGTCGTGCGGCCTTCGCCGTAGCACTACTCCTCGCAGTGTTTGTAATAGTTAGTAGTAGTAGTAGTAGTAGTAGTAGTAGTAGTAGTAGTAGTAGTAGTAGTAGTAGTAGTAGTAGTAGTAGTAGTAGTAGTAGTAGTAGTAGTCGTCGTAGTAGTAATAGTAATAGTAGTAGTAGTAGTAGTAGTAGTAGTAGTAGTAGTAGTAGTAGTAGTAGTAGTAGTAGTAGTAGTAGTAGCAGTAGTAGTAGTAGGGTTAGTGGATTAGTACTACTAGGAGTGATTGTATTAAGGATAGTGAGATTACGAATAGTAGTTGTAGTAGTGGAAAGATTAGTGGTAGTAAAAGCAGAAGTATTCGTAAGCGATGTCAAAAACCGTCCAGGTAGACGTACTACTGGTTATCCGCCACCGTGCCTCTGGGCACGGAGTGGGCGTTTCCTGAGGTCCTCTGCCTCGTCCCCTGAGCCTGAGTCCTCGCTCCTGAGGAATCATTAAGGGCACCAGAGCCCAAATTGCAAAATCTCCCGGGCCTTGTCGCGGTTCCCTTGGGCCTTGTCGCAGCTGCCTTGGGCCTTGTCGCAGCTGGCCGCGTGACTTTTTCGGGCCCACGAAGGCCCCAAGACGTGCCAAGAGGGCCCCAAGAGGCATCCAAGTCGGCAGCAGTAGTCGCACAGTATCGGAAGCAGTATCGGGAGCAGCAGTCGCACATCCAATCATAGCAGTCTGAGGTGTACATACATGGACAGCATTGGTAGTACCACTAATAACATCAATACTAGTGGCCTCCAAGACGTCCTCAGCACGGCCCAAAAGGCCTCATCGGCGACCCAGGACGGCCCCAAGAGTGCCCCAAGCTGGCCCAAGGCGGCCCCAAGAGAGCCTCAAGCGGGCCCAAAAGGGCGTCCGGAAGGACCCAAGACGGCCTCAAAGGCTCCTCGATGGCTCAAGACGGCACCACGAGACCCTCCAGACGGCCAGGAAGGCCCGAAGGCAGCCACAGAAAACCGCAAGGGCGCCCTTCCTCATCCCCATCGGCCATCATCACCATCGTCGTCGTCGTTGTCGTCGTCGTCATCATCATCATCATCATCATCATCATCATCGTCATCGTCATCGTCATCGTCATCGTCATCATCATCATCATCATCATCATCGTCATCGTCATCGTCATCGTCATCGTCATCGTCATCGTCATCGTCATCGTCATGTCATCATCATCATCATCATCATCATCGTCATCGTCATCGTCATCGTCATCGTCATCGTCATCGTCATCGTCATCGTCATCGTCATCAACATCATCAACATCATCATCAACAACATCATCAACATCATCGTCGTCGTCAGCAAGACAGCCTCAGGAGGCCCCAAGCGGCTCCTCAGGAGACCGCAAGACAGCCCCAGGAGGCCCCAAGCGGCTCCTCAGGAGACCGCAAGACAGCCTCAGGGGGCCCCAAGCGGCTCCTCAGGCCCCAAGAAGGCCTCAGGGGGCCCCAAGCTGCTCCTCAGGAGACCGCAAGACAGCCCAGGAGGCCCCAAGCGGCTCCTCAGGAGACCGCAAGACAGCCTCAGGGGGCCCCAAGCGGCTCCTCAGGAGGCCCCAAGAAGGCCTCAGGGGGCCCCAAGCTGCTCCTCAGGAGGCCCCAAGATGGCCTCAGGAGGCCCCAAGATGGCCTCAGGAGGCCCCAAGATGGCCTCAGGAGGCCCCAAGGGGGCCTAAGGAGGCCCCAAGATGGCCTCAGGAGGCCCCAAGGGGGCCTAAGGAGGCCCCAAGATGGCCTCAGGAGGCCCCAAGGGGGCCTAAGGAGGCCCCAAGGCGGCCGCGCCGGAGGTTCCAGGGTCCGTCGTCGGAGGGAACTCTGTAAAGCTTTTCAACAGCTTTAAATGTTTCTGAAACGGATCGCCGGGAAACAGTCCAGTTTGCCGGGAAAAAGTCGAGTTTGCCGGGAAAAAGAGTTTTTCCCCCCCGGGCGGCCCTCGAGTCTAACCGTGTCCGCGCAGATGGTGCTAGAACAATCGCCAATGCGTTGCCATGCTTCATATCGCCCAAGATGGTGTCGACCAAAGCCTGCAGTATAAGGCGCAACTGATCCTCCTCGTCGAGAACAGGGAACCGCATGATCTGGACCACCTGCCCGAGAACCCCTCCCTGCCAATCTCCAACGTCAAAGCGCTCCAAGGCGCCGCTGTAGAGGCGGTAGATCTCGAGCAGATGAGACCCAGCCATTCTGAGACGCACTACTGGAGGAACAGGCGGCTCTAGCTCCGCCTGGACCTTGGGCGGCACCGTCGGGTAGTGGGGCTCTCCCCGCCCTCCTCAATGCGCTTCTCATATGGCATGCTGGAAGACCCCTCTGTAGTTGTAGCCGCGCCGCACCAAGTCCCGCTCGCGCGCCAGGCCCTGCCGACGCAAGTCCTCGGCCTCCAAGGGGGGCAGCAAGTCGCCATTGTGCAACAGCCAGTCAATGCAGCGGTTGCCAGTGCGGCGAAGGTGACGTAGTAAACTGGATCGGTCGCCAAGTTGTACACCGCGCGCTCCACGCTGTCTCCCTCGAGAAACAAATTGTGCACCGTCGATGGGCTGGTGGTCTAGCTCGTGCCTGCGCCACGCTGTCGCTGACGCCGTCG